TTCAAGGCCACATCAGTCAATACAGGACCCAGTGCAGGGACTGAGGTAAAATCTCAGTTCCACTGGGCATCACTGTATGTCTAACCTCTACCAGTCTGAGAGCATGTGTTTCTGAGTCCAATGCTCTAGACTTTCATTTTGCTGGAGAGATGCTGTGCTACCCCCAAAATGAGTCTTTAGCTTCTGTTCTTCTGTTTCTAATCACTTCTTCAATTCCTAAAAATAAAAAAATATTTTTTTAAAGTAAAAAAATACAGAAACAAACAAAGCCCTTCCCCAAAAATTAGGTCCGTGATAGAGATAAAACTTTTTTTTTTTTTTTTGAGCTCTACAGACAAGAGATATTTGAAGCCATAGGGGCAGGCACGCTCAGAATGAGATAGAAGGCATTAATGAACTAGAGTACAGTGATTAGAGTGCAGAAGCAAGAACAGAAAAGCAAGCTGCTAGCCCAGCCTCCCTTTCATTCCCAAATACTCAGAATTCAGCTGCCCCACTGCTGGCTAGCACTATCACAAGCTGATGCCACCTCAGTTCTTTGTTTCATGTTGTCATCCTGTTTTCACAGGTTAGGGCTGTGTTCAGATGGTTTGCATTAAGCGGGTAAATTAGATGCTTATGTTAGACATCTAGACTCTGTAGACTCTCCATAAAATCAATACTCAGAGTGACAATTGCCTTAAGAGGGCAACTACGAGCATCTATACTAGACTTTAGCAAGGTGACCGAATTGCCTTCTGAAGGTACTTCTCTTACCATTGACCACAGAGAGAACATACAGAGTCCAGGCTCCAAACATGAGCAATCATCTAAGACAGAAGATTGACTATGGAAATACTACCCATGCTTCTGTCCCTTGGCCAGGAGTTATTCGAAAAGTATCACCCAGTAACTTTTTGGCTACCTAGTTTTTAAAACATCAAATGAGGTATAAGAGAAATTATAACTAAATAGTCAGGCTGCAACACCTACGCGTTCTTATCTTTAAAGCCATTGGGAGACTTCTTACTAGGAAGTCAAAGCAATGTCTTTTTCTGGTTAGGTTTCTCTTACCATTCAAAAATCTTTTTCTTTCAGAAATGAGGAATGGATTTGCTTCTCATATTTGCTAAACTGGGACAAGACATAAAAATGCAAAAGGTTGCTACTTCCACTGTCTTTAAAATAAGATGTACTTACTGAACCTGACCGTTCTGTTAATGGACTCTACAGAATATCCCAAGGTGTATACAGATGAAATGTAAGATACTGGCACATTTAAAAATGAGGCAATTTATTAATATTTGGTGAGGAAAATGCCTAACAACAAAAGGATCCGGGAGAGAAGTTTTACAGTATTTTCGGAGAGAGACAGAATCCACTGTAGACTTCAGAGGGCAGAGAACAAAAACGAAAGATTTCTAGACAGAGCTAGCTAAGGGAAGATGACTGGGCATGGTGACGGATAACTCCCATAAATTTTGCCATTGGCAGAAAGCAGCCTTGCTGGCAGCCATGGAAACAAACGACTGAGGTGATATTTCAGTGATGGATCAGCTCTTGTTATTTATTCCAGTGCAAAAAAAGAGATGCAAAGGGATGTCATTCAGAATAGTAAGTGACAAATCCCAAACGTTTGAGAGAATTACAAGAGAAAATCCCTAGCACATCTAAAAACAACTTTGGAAATTCTGAACTTTTCCGATCAAATAATACTGGGTGAAAGAAATTCGCTGTGAAGTTGTAGCTGCAAACAGAAATTTGACTTTTCAGAAGGGGGCTGAAAATCTCACCTGAACAGCCTAGTTAATTGTGTTTGTGTACTCCCCTATCTGCCACAATAACTCAAGTTGAGCAGAGCTGTAAAGGCTTGTGATTCAGCTGGAGTACTGGGCAGCTTGGAATCAATTCCCTATTTGTCTGGACCAGTCCAACCAGCCCTATCCAGTTCACTCAGCCAATGCTGTAGCATGCTTTCTCATGCAGAAAAACAAACTGGCAAACAGAATATTGAAGGTGAATTTCTATGTCAGCACTTGGGGTATTTCAAATCTACAGACAGATTGGTTAGGACAGCATTTAGCAGAAGCAGCCCTTGCAAACACTATAGTATAGTCCAAACTTTCATGATGAACAGGTTTGATATAAAATGCAATCAAATTTTCCTGCTACACCTGAGGTCTCAGCAGCATGAACTCACCTCAGCTAAAGAATTATTTCCATTTATTATTGGAAAACAGTACAGAGACAGTTACTGTTCTCCTCCTGCTTAGGCTACTTGAACACTTCCTCCCTCTCCAAAGTGCACAGCCTCTGGGTCAGGAAATGCACTCTTCAGCTTCCTCTCAAAGCTGTTTCCTCAAAGGGTAAGGTCTTTCCTGCCTTTCCTGAGTCGGCTGTCTGTGCATGTCCTGTATACAAACCTAGCCACTACAATATCATTAGTCATATTTTGCAGAAGTAGAAAACTGAAATCTAAATGTTAAATGACTTCCCCGAAGTCAGTGGCAGAGATAGGAGGAGAATAATACTATCTAGTTGTTATCAAACACTTCACATTGGAAGAGCTAAAACACTACCCAAAGTATGCCTCTGTCATTACTTCAGTTACATGGATGACTTGCCTTAACATCGCCCAAGATGCCAGTAACAGAAATGCAATGGGCCCTCCGGTCTCCCAGGCTCCTACACAGAAACTGTCCCCTAGATTTTATTACCGCTGTTCCTTTTCAGCTCCCATTTCTGTATGTAATTATTATCTTCTTAACTTCTCCCTCATTACCCCCTTATTCATCCAACACATCATGATGCAGCTGCCTCATACTGGAAAAAAAAGCACAGAGCTGTGAAGGACAGACAACACTGTCAGACTCTGGTGATGTAAAAATCATATAATCCTTGGAGTTCACAAAATAACATTTGCCATTTTATCTCTCAGCAGGCTTTCCTACACCAACAAATGAAATATGTATTTTCCAGTCCAGTTAATTCACCTCTGCCTGCAGATTCCACCTCAAGACACCAAAGCAAATGTTTGTGCTGAGTGGCACAGTGAACAGTGCCAGTCCCGAAGGTCTAGCTCAGTGCTCCTGGGGACCTACGCAATTTTGGTCTGGGCTCAAATGTATGCAAAATAGTGACTTTGACCCATGCTGTAAAGGACACCAAGGAAAGGACATGCTTACTCCTAAGAGAAGTAAAGCAGTAAGGTGATTTTATAAGAACAAAGGACTGGGAGAAGAGATTATTTTCCCAACAAATAGCACACTGATACATTAGCTGTAACAAGTGTTAGAAATTTTTAATATTTGAGATCTGCCTGAACAAGAACTTTCATACTTATCTGCTATCAGTGACATTACACTTCATTTTATTTGGATGTCAGTAGCTATTCAAGGACACAGCACTGCTGCGTTACAAATGCTTTTAAGTCAAGCATAGTAGCAGCAAGTTACCAGACAAAGGGACAATGTGTTAAAGGCTGCCTGCCAGAGATTACTTATTCAAGTTGATTACATGGAAAGGACAGCAGCGCTGCCACACTTCTGCCCCATACTCTCCGGGAAAAAAAAAAAAGAAAAGCCAGGAGTCACAGCTAGGTTTTCTTCAGTTCTCACTGCATGGGGTAGGCAGGCAGAATGTAATGTAATACAATGACACAGGGTTTGATCTGGCAAGGTAGTGCACCTAACTGCTTTGCTAGGTCAGGGCAAGCACATTCTACCTTAGTTTTAAGTACGAGTAGTAGATATAAATGCCTCTCACTTGAAAGCTGACTCTTGAACATGATTTGAGTCAAAAGCAGAAAATAATCACAGTCATAGATCATCAAGAAGCA